TCTGGTCATCCTCACAGAACCACAGAATGTTAGTTAGGGGTTGGAAGGGACCTCAAAAAATCATTTAGTCCAACTCCCCTGCCAGAGCAGGACCACCTAGAGTAGATCACACAGGAACATGTCCAGGCAGGTTTTGAATGTCTCCAGAGAAGGAGACCCCACAACCTCTCTGGGCAGCCTGTTCTAGTGCTCTGTCACCCTCGCAGTGAAAAGTTTTTCCTTACGTTAATGTGGAACCTCCTATGCTCCAGCTTGCACCTGTTGCCCCTTGTCCTATCATTGGCCATCACCAAGAAGAGCCCGGCTCCATCCTCCTGACACTCGTCCTTTACATATTTATAAACTTTAATGAGGTCACCCCTCAGTCTCCTCCAAGCTAAAGAGATCCAGCACTTCTGTAAGCACTTCTCAGAGCATTTTAGAAGAAAATTTGTTTGTTTTCATCTCAGATGTGGAATTGGATGATGATCTTTTAAGGAGAGAGAGGAGCTATGGAGGATGTTGAACAGCAGACCAAAAGAACAAAGAACTAGTCTATAGTCTAGAGCCACACTGGATTATGGCTCTAACTTCAGGAGTTTCACTAAAATACATCAAAAAACCAGTTTGCTGTACAAAAGTCAGCAGCTGACTCTGGTACTTACAAAAAATAAATCAGCCATAAAGCATACAATCATACACCTGCTGGCTTCACTGGATGCCCTTTGCTCTTGCACTGGAAGCAGGAGTAAACAACAGATTCCAATCGTTTTCTTCATGCTACTTTTGAGTCTTGTTTTCACAAGTTGCTTATCACATACAGAACATTTTTGACTGGGTTTTGTCCTTGAATGCTTAAAACAAAAAGACATCATCAAACTTCAAGGATAGTCAGCAGAGATAGAGATATAGTGGGTGAGATCCTGTCCCTATTGGCAAAGTAGAACTTGAGCGAAGTCCAGATCTTACTTATTTTTTTGTTTAGCTCAAGAAAAGTTAATCTTGCATATAAGTTCTTATTTTTTTAACTCATATTTTAACTTAGTCAATTTATTGCATTCCTTATTTAAACTCTTAATGCCAACAGTGCTAAATACCCACCTTTTTTTTTTTTTTTTTTTTTTTTTTTTTTGGAAAGCGTATGCAACAAAGTAAAATACTATTTCATCCAACATATCCAAGATCCACAAAATAAACTTATTGTCAGGTAAAAGGAATAGCCTGAGAGATGAATATAATTTCATCTGTGAGACAAAGCCTAGATTGGAAGGCTAAATTTGCCTTGGCCTTAATCCACTGTAACATGCAGCAGTAGGCTGTGATGTATATTGAGGCTCAGTTAAGCTACTGTTTAGTGTACTCTCCTTCCTATAAAGCACTCTCCAGATTAATGACATGCATCAATTTTGCTAATATCAGAGAATGAGATGGTGCCCTCTATGCAGTCCAGAAGAAAAGTTAAAAAATTGCCTTTTTGGAGGTGGAGAGGGGGAGAAATTATCTTGCAGTCATTGTGATCGCAGGGCACAAGCTTATCACTGCAGAAACAACAGGAAAGAAGGAGGTGAGGTTATCAGATCTCGAAGACCTCCAAGACTGCAAAATATGTTGATAGACAGAGCAGCAGAGTGATGGTGGCACAACATATGCAGGAACAAATACATTGTGATTTACAATCCATGACTAACGATGCTATGACCAAGCAGAAACAATGCTGCAAGAGCTCCACTTCTATGCTCCAGAGTTGCTAGTGGAAATATTAGAATACCAAAGAGTCTAGAGGTAACAAAACCCAATTAAAGTTCAGCTTCCAGATAATTTTCAATATTTATAGACTAGATAAGAAATGCTCATTCCTCACCTGACCTTTTTTTGATTAGAAGTCCAGAAGCTTCTTCAAGATACTTCGACTTCTACCACATGCAAAAGGCATTAAATTCCATATTGCTCTTAAAATCTTACCCTGTCTTCTCGCAGCTGTTTCTATCTACATTAATATCCACTCTTCACTATTGGGTTTATCTTTACTGAAAACTCCCAGTGATTTTTTTCATTCAAAAATAAATCCAGGTGGATAATATTCTGAATGTTTCTAAATATTTGGATCTTTCTGGATTAAAAGATCCTAGAACTGGCAAAAACCCCTTCACTATACACAGGTAGATAACAGATTTATAAATTCCTGTGAAGTTTTTCTGATGACATGGTGCCTGAAAACATATCTAAGGTAAAGAAGAAAATGTCTAGGTTTTTCTCAAATTTTGTAAAACTAAAGAAATAAATACATATGAATATTTGCATCAAAAATATTTATTTCAAAAAAACGTAAATTTTCAAATGAAAAATCTTTTCATCAAAATAACCAAATCTTTAGTTTGATAACCATATTTAACCAATCTTTAGCTTGATAACCATATTCTCTGGCAAGAATTAACACTTTCTACCAGTCCTTAGAATTTCAAATCTTAGATAATCTCTGATCGTATCACTCGTGTCTCAGAGATATACTATTTGCTCAACAAAAATCTGGCCAGAGAAAAACACAGAATCATTTGTCAATGAATGTCTCATCTTTCATTTATATTCTCCACACAAAAAGTACTGTTAAGTTAAAGTTATGGCTAAAATAAGTTCATAGGAATGTTGAAATATTTTAATTTTGGGGATCTAAGTGAAAATAAGAAAAGAGAACAAAGAGAACCAAAGACAAATTTTTCCATTAAAAAAGAGAAAATTAAGGCCAGAACCTCTATTTCTAACATGTCACAGGAGACTTGCAGGACTCAAAAAGTACCAGTGACCTTCAGTGGTGTTCCCATCTCAGATTAACAAACACAATTTATCCCACTGGCATTTAGGTAGCAGCAAAAAGAAGACAATTTGAGTTGACAGGTAGCATTCAACCCCCATTCAGAGAGATGCTACTTATGGTTTTTCCGAGAACATCACCATCCCCCCCCACCCCACCCCCCATCCCCCTGTTCATCTCACAGGGATCTGGGCAACACACCTGGCAAGGCAGGAGAATTTCACTTGTCTTCCACAGTCACCCATGAGATTTAGTATTTGAAAAGTGTGCATACTCCCGTTCTATACTGACAAAATTTTCTTAGATAGCCATTTACTTTCTACTTTCTTGCTCTCTCTTCAAGGAAAAGATAAAAATACATGTTCTGAAATGAAAGCATAGGTTTGCAAAATTGTGACATAATTGACATTTTTCAGTAGTAGACTGAAGCAACATTTTATGGCACAATTAAATGATTCCTGATAATTATTTTGCAACTAGATTCCTATACTAGTTTTTTAACTTTATGACTTTACTTCTATCAAAATAAAAGAATAAATTAGAAGACTTTTTCAAATTCCATTTTCTCATTTCTGCAACGTTTTAATTCAGCAGCTGTTTGTCCAATCATTTCAAATTATATAGAAAAATTATATCTTGTTCCACACAGTTTAAGAATGCTACATTTTCTGTGGCTGAAGAGCAAAATTAGCCTTATAATGGCAAAGAAATTGCAATAGCTATGAAATCAAATCTTGCTGTACTTCCCACAATTTGTGTTTTATTTTCTCAGAAGAGACAAAGTAAAATAATTTCTTGAAATAACAATGACATAATAGCTATACTCAAAAATTAAGCTTACACATAGGAATATAGAAATTCCTATAATTTTATTTGATGTTTAAACATTCTCTCCATTTAGGTATTTCTCCTTATTCTTTTTTAATAGAAAAAAGAATATTTTTCTTTTTGTCTTTTAATAGAAAAAGAAAACTTTAATATTCAAATGAATGCAAATTTTTTTCTCTCACTTTACACCAGTGTAAACTAGGAGTAACTGCAACAATGTCAAGTGAAACAGCCGTTGGGGAAGGCTAAAGCATAAAGTGAGTAAGCACTTCATAAAACTGTAGCTGTTATGATTGACAGCACATTGCATGACATTAGGTCAAAGTAAAGCCTAGAAACAATATTTACATAAGTTAATCAAATAACACCTTGTCTATGAACAATTGGCTTTTCAGAAACATTTCCACATGTGAGAATGTCTTCTTTCTATATGAAACGCTTTTTACTGAAAAACAAGTCCTCCCTCCCATCTTACCCTTCTTTTGAAAAATCTTAACTGAAATGCAAGCATAGTGCCACAGGGATGTCGTAGTTCAGATTCTTACAGATCAGCCTCTTTCTAACCAGTAGGCCATGTTCCCCTAGTAGACTAAGTCTCCAGTGATGCATCACCTTCATTCTTTAAGAAGAATAACTACAATGCACAGTAGGAAGCCCCAGGCCAGGGAGCTTACCCCATAAATGGAAAATTGATAAGTGAGTAATTGATCTACCGATCCTATGGGATATCACCTCTATAATTTCCTGAAACAAACATTTTATTTTAATTGTTGAAAAGTCAACATTTTCTTGGCATATAAATCTGTTAATTGTTTGTATCATTAGCATTAAATGGCAGCTGAGAGAGAAATCGTGAAAGCAAGCGAGATAACCAATGTTTTCTGTTTTAAAGATCCTCAGAGATCTTCTGGAGCTACAGTTGCAGGCATTACAGACTAAAATGAGCTACCAAAGTTTAAATGTCCTGTCCTTCAGGGGTGCTGACACTTGTTATTCCTATTGGCCTGAGTAGGAATTTTGAGCTTATAGCACCTTTGAGCATTACATAAGTTTACTTAAGTACTTAATTTTTAGGCACTCGAGTCTGAAGAAAATAAATAATTGGCTCTTTAGTGTAATCTTATGAAAACATGTGTGACTTGCAGCACTTTGGGTTCATATCTTACAAGCATGTCTGTTGCTTAGAAAAGTAGCCTGGAATCTCCCCAAATCAATCTGAAGTGAAAATTCCATAACGAACGTACAATTTACTACAAGTGAAGTAGCAGAAAAAGAAGTGCAAAGTAATTCCAGAATATCACTAGTGCATAAGTAAGCATTCCTTGAAAATAAGTCACTCATTTATAGAAACAGGATATAAATAAATAATGTTTGAGACTTCTTTCAAATACTTAGAGTTCTTTATATGATACATTTTAGAACATTCCACAGCATCTAAAATATACAAAAATAAATATCTACATTATTTACAAAGTATGATACAATCCAATCTTTAAAAAGACTTGTAAAGACATGTTCTTTAGCTCATACTGAGGTACGTAGGTTTCTGTAAGACTGAGAAGAAATAGGAGAGGCAGTCATTTTGAAGGAATCCCTTTGTCCAGTTGTTGTAGTCTGTAACACGCTAAAAGCACGTGCCATTCTCTGTATTGAGCCAAAGTCATCCATGCTGTAACTCTATCGAGGTAAGTTTAGTTATGCTAGGGACGAATTTGTCCCACCCTGCATTCTCCGTATTGCCAGTGTCTTCCACAGAAACTCTCACAGCTTCATCTAAATTTGAAGTCATGTTCATCCCTGGTATGTGGAGATGCAGTTCCACTGATTTCAGTGGGCTGAGTGTAGCTGGGATACCTGTAAGATAAAATAAAGATTTTAAGAGTATTTTACTGTTTGTATCAGGCGGCTGACTGGCTCACCCTGTGATTGTCACTCTCTGAACAGTATGCAGGTGACGATCTGTCAACAAAATGATCTGCCAGAAAATGTTCAAAATTGCACTTGCAAATTTTGAGTGAAGACTTCTTGACTGAAATCTAAGGGGATTTCTGATGCATAACTCTTGATTTTTCTTACTTTTAAACATTTTTAATGTGTTCTACTCCTTATTTAATAGGCATTATTTGGCAAATTGCCCTGTGATTCTTTATCCATATGCCACTGTGACCAGCAAAGCATTACAGCTCCCTTTGAACAAGTCAATCGTAAAATCATAGAATAGTTTGGGTTGGAAGAGACCTTTAAAGATCATCTAGTCCAATCCTGCCTGCCACGAGCACAGGACAGGCAAAGAGAAGAGTATTATGACAAATAATAGAGCAGAACATAATCTACAGCCACACTGTCATCTGTGTTTCATGGCTGTAACCTTGCTTGTGTCATACATACAGGAATGGCAACAGTACCAGAGCAAGCTGAGTTCAGGAAAAGCCCATATTCCTTCTATAGTAAGTGAAAAGAACAGTCTTCTTCAGAGGTAATGAATTTAATTATTTTTAGTTATATATTTTAGGAACAAATTAGCTGTCCTTGGAGATACCAATCTCTCTGTTATCAATATATAGCTCATATAGTCCTAGTCTATAGTGTCTGAGATAACTTCTAGACAACAAACATTCACATTCCTAGGAGAGGATGAATGAATCCCTTGTAAAGGCCTGCTGCAATATAACATTTAATGTAATGAGAAATATAAAATAATAAGTTATATGCCATTTTCCACCTATTCACAAAGCTAGGGAATTGCATAATTGTTTCAATGTTTCCCCAAAACTGGGAAAGCCTGAACAACTCCTGCCTTTCATTTCAGCCTGTGTTCATTTGTTTATCAACCTGTATTGGAGAAAAACCAAGAGTGACTTCCTAGCTGTTCCTGAACACACGCAACAGGAAAAAGAACAGAAAATGGGAGAAAAGAAAATAATGTGAATTTCTTATTTGATCAGCTCACCTCACACCAGAATGCATGGTAAACACATCATTTTAAATGGTCAGTCTGTACACCCAATTTTGTTTAAAATATTTGTTATGAAATATACCACAACTTCAGAGAATTAGCTCTGAGTAGAATATAGCTGTTTATAAACACATTGCAACTCCAGGGAAAATTATTTTCATGCCTTCAGATACCTGTTCTTTATTTACTTAGGAGTCTAAAGGAAGTAGGGATCTCAAGAAAATACTTATTTAAAATATGATTACCTTACCCCCTCCCCAGTTGCAACTCAACTTCTAAAATAAATGAGATGAAGTTTTGCTTTGTCATCATATAACCAAAGTTGTAGCATATTCTATAAAATATTTCCTGTAAGTTCCTTGTCTTATAGTCAGTTCTTAATTGTAAACAACCTTCTCATTGTGTTGTGCTCAGATTTAAGTATTGTATGCACAATTAAATTTTACTTCCACAGCATCAAAAGACATAGGGACAAGTATACTACCAGTGGGTAATACGTGCAGTACCATTTGCTGGAAGTGTGTTTATGTTGGTCAATACAATGTGTTCTGAAAGTTTTGAAACGTTATCAAAATTGCTGATCTGGGTGGTCAAGGATTTCCGACTCTCTGTACTGGCACGACCTCTGGTAAACCGTTCATCATGGTGACTGCGAATGCCAAAGATGCAACAAGAAAATGCCGCTTTAAATTCTTCTCTAAATTTCCCTGTCAACCACAAAAAAGACTCATGAAAATACTCTTCTATAAACCATGTTTCATCAAACTTTATATATAGATTACAAAAAAGCAGCTATCTAAAGCCAAATTAACCTGAAACACCCAGATGTTCTTCTAATGCAGAAGTATGAAATCACAATTTCAACATCTTGGAGAAAGACAGAAAAAATATAACCTTTGTAAGAAGATATGTGAGGTGTGGTATGAAGCCTGAATTATTCTTGGCTAGACAGAATGGACAAACTAGAATGATTTATGAAATCATGTCATGGATAGTCTGTTGATTAATCACATATCTAACAAAAACAAGTAATTGAGCAATCATAGGCTTAAATGACTGAATCATTACTTGACATGTGAAACAAGAGGATATGGCTAGTTTGTATTTCATCTTGAATACATTTTAAAGGAAGATTCAAAGTGTTCAACAGTCCACCAGTCTGCTTTTCCGGCTCAGAGTAAATTGTTCAGATCAACCTCACACTACATACCACAAAAAAAACTGCAACAGGCCAATGTGCAGTGAGGATCAATAGACTTTTGCCTCCCTGTATTTAGCTACAATACCACCTGTTTAGGTCCCAATTCTGCTGTCCATAGCCAAATAAGGCAAATACAAACTAAGACAAATCTATACTGGTAAGTGAACAGCATCCTAGCTGACCTCTTTGGCCTTGAATCCAGTTGGCACAGTCTGATCACGCAAGTACTATTAAAGATTCACAGCCTCCAAAAACCAATACCCACATATAGAATGCCAAATGGGGACAGCCTCAGCCTGTGCTACCTCCCAGAGAGAATCCGCAGAGCGTTTAAGGGAATGGTAATTGTTTCAGACCAAAGTCATACCAGGGACTTCTCTGCCAAACTAATGGCATGGACAGTCAAATTCAAGCACTTGGACTCAGGCCCTGGCACTGTTTAGTTAAATTCTAGGTAGATAGCCTGAAGGAAATGGGATATTTCAGGCAACTTGTTCCAAGAAGAGGATCTAGCTCCCACTGGAGAAGCAGGGCTGATGTTACACAGTCATTAATCTTATTCGCTATGGCTCATTACATTCAAACTATACATTAAACTTGAATTCTAGGTAACTATAACTTACCACTGAGGAAGTTATAAATAATAGGATTGGCTGCACTGTTTGCATATACAAGCCAGTGTGAGAATGTGAACCAGGCGTATACAGTTTCTCTGTCATCGGCATGATTAAACATCCCAAAAACCCTACAGAAAAAGAAAAGTGAACCTGAAAGATGGCAAAATTAGAAATCATATAAAAAGATTTGGCAACTTCTAGCCATTTATCTCTGATGACCTATTTGAAGTATCACAGAAAAGTGCTCGCTTTTTTGAGAGAACAAAGTCCTCTCCCCATCCGTCAGCCTCCCACTTTGGTGGTTTAGCTCAACAGAGATCATCAGTACTTTACTTTGCAATGGTGCAGATGCATGACTTTTCTGCTAAGTAACCAAAGCTGGCTAGTGTCAGATAAGCCAACAAAAGATGGGAAAGCTTACTTTTGACCTATTCATGTCACTGAGGTTCCTGGCTTTAGACCTACCCTCCAATAAACAGGAGCTCTGGAACTGAAAAGACACTGAACTGGCCCCAAACGGAGGCCACAGTAGCAGCTTCTGTCCTTCATAGAAATCTGATTTGTCCAGATTCCTTACACCTAGCTTTTGCCATTTAAGTGAAAATCTAACTATGGGCCTACTCTGCTATTATACTTGAGGCAGCCTGTGCAGTTCCTCTGTGACTCAGATCGTAGGTGCCTGAACTGCCTTCTGGAAATACTTCTTTCTCTCCACATTGCCTACCAAGGGACTTGAGGATGAAAAGTACTTAAATTAGGCCTCAGAAAAGTGCCAGAATTGAGTGGGATGTATTTAAGCCTTCATATCCAACTTGAAACTATTCCTTAAAAACTAAATGTTCCTCAAGCACCAGTAACAGCCTGGTTATTTTTTAGGATATTCAAAACTTCTGCAGTGTGTTGTTATTTATCAGTATTCCAGAGGGCTCATGAGGTATAAGCCTTAGCCTGTCAGGCTATATATGAGGTATAAGCCAAAGCCTTAGGCTTTCAGGCACTGTACAAAAAACAAGAGTGTACACAATTATGGCTCAAATGAACAGGAGAGAAAAGGGTAAAAAAGTAAAACATAGCTTCATAGGCAAACTGAAGGGTTAGCCTAAGGTCTCACTTTGTATGTGATGGGGCTTGGGTTTGAACCCAGCATTTCACAGTCCTCGGGGGCAAGCCACAACACTACACTCTCCTGCCAACTGCTGCTGCTGCTGCTTTAGGTAAATGCACTTGCATGGACACATTTACAGCAAACAAGCTGCAATCCCATGTAAATGACAGGTTTTAATGAGGAGACAGGCTAGATCATTTTCATGAGGAAGAGCTTGCCAATAAGGGTTCCACAATCTGGCTTCTAGTTTAAATAGTACGGATGGGTTAGATATATATTTTTCTTGCAACCGTATGCTTATTTTCCATTTCTTTATCATGAAATAAGTAAGCTTATCCTTCAAAAGTATCTGCCAGAATAACAGGAATCTTGCAACAGAGGGTTGTTTTTAGACAGAAAGCTTTATCAAGTGTTTACACTTTGGGATAAACTATACCTTTTCAAGACATTGAGGATGCTAATTGGTAGATAGCAAAGTGCAAAAACCAGGAGGACAACCATTAGCATACGTGCTGTTTTCCTTCTTGCACGAATCTGTTTTATTTCAGCTGCCACAGCGCTAATCTTTGACTTTGTTGATTGTCCCAGCCCTCGGGGCTGTGCTGAGGTCTGCAGAGGCTTCCATTTTTTCTGAACAACAGAAGAAGTTCCTGGGATCTAAGACAAAATAAGGAGCACTTTGAAAAACTAGCACTGTGGGTAGCTATAACAAGAAAAATAGACATGTTGACATACACAATGTACGCTTGGAGGGAGAAGTATTTTTTTTATTAAATTAATTGATGTAGCTGCAAGGAATAAACCTGATTTCAGGCACACTTGAAAGACCGCATAAAAATTTGTGTTTTATCCAAATATATCAACTGATGTATTAAAATTTTCTTTACTTCCCACACACCTTGCTTTGCTTGTGTCTTCAGACTATCACTCTTACCAACCCTATTGCTGCAATTATGTTGCTATAAAGCTCTATGTTAAACGTTTTGTTGTATGGCAGACTAGTTTATACCATTAATATGCTGTTAATTTAAGATACTAAAGAGCTTTTCAGCATTGGAAAACAAGGATTTAAAGCCTACATAGCTTTAAGTGCCATAAAAGTTCCAAATATGCAATCTAGATGACAATGAAGCAGCTAAAGAAATCACAGCTGAAGTGTGGATGTCCCTGCAAAGCTCTTCAAAAATGAATGTATATACAGTGTTGAAGAGCAGGGAATCATGGAAGAGTGCCAAGACATAGGAAGAATTAGGTTAGCCAAAGACACCTTGCAATGGGGAGATGTAGCACCACAGTATTAAAAAAAAAAATCTCGATTTTTGTTTTCTGTGCCCTCACATAAGCCAAGCCAAATAAAGCAATTTTGCTTCAGTTCTTCAACATTATTTCCTACCTGCAGCCAAGTATAAAAGACTACAGGACTTTCTCAGAGAACTCTATTACAATGACGTGTATAATGTTTTCAATGTTATACACTGTGAAAACCTTTTGAGTAGAAATATAGTTTTATTCATGCGTAGTGCAATTGTCTGGGTGACTAGGAATGTAAAATAATTCATGTTTAAATGTATCTACAAAATTCAAATTGTCTATTGTAACATTTTAAAACTTAGGGCTTATCCACACAGACTGACCACAAAAGAATGAAATTTTGGATATTTATTTCAGAAAAAAAGTAAGCTAGAAAGGAAATATGAGTTCTAAAACAAAAGCATGCACATTCAGAATTTTTCTAGAATAGCAAATATGTTGGTTTTGGGGTTTTTTTTGTGAATAGCTTCCTTGCACAGACAAGCCTTTAACTTAGCATTTATGTGCACTGTCAAACCTGATTTACAACTATTGGAACGTTTTGGCGAAGTTGTGTTGTAATGAACAGGAAATCGATGAAGCAGAACAGGGGATATGTTATAACATTTATCTTTTACTAAATGTGTCTGTGGACATAAAGCAAAAAAACCTTTGCACTTCTGCTGTAGGTTCCCACTCATTCAGCTGAGATCAGCAGTATCAGTTTCATATCTGTACATGTCTGTCCTATTGCAAGGGATTTACCCTGCTTAGTGGGGGATGTATTACCTCAATATGTCTTTGCCATGCACTACTGAGAGAATACGCTATCTAAGATTCTGATTCTGGCTTATCAGGGGCACTTTGATATTCTGTTCTTCTACCTTTGAAGCAGAAGCTTTTCCTTCCTTTTCAGTCATACTGAGTTACCATATTGTAGCAACAACTGGAGATGGAATCAAGGATATTCAGCCAAATCTCTCCCTCCTGATTATGCCAAAGATTCACTTGAAGAAATCTGTGACCAGCTTTCATGGCAGCTAGATGCAATTTAGATGAAGAGAAACATTAGCTTGGCTCAAAATTGTGAATGGCTATTTCCACAGAAATCGCAGACATGCCTGTGTACATGGTTTGTACCTGTGTGTGCAGGTAGAAGGGTATTTTCTGGTATTTAAACTGTCTTTAATACTAAGAGGCAATCAAAGGTAGGTCTGTATACAGTGTACAATCTCTATATTAAATTGCTAAATCTTCAGGAGTTTGTATTGAGAACCTTTCAAAAGAGCCCTATTTTTCCTCAGGCTTTACCTGGCATACACCTGGGATTTGCTACTGTTACACCAACAGGCAATAATACAGCAAGAATCTTATCAGGAAAAAAAAAGAAAGAAAAGCTGTATACCCACAAATGTACAGCTGAACCAGTGCCTCCTAAGAAGCACCACACTTCAGAAGTGTGTGCATGTCTGTGTGTATACAGAAACATTTACACATGTGCATTTATGTAAACACACATACACGTATTTCAAGTCAAAGGACAAGAGGAAATGACCTCAGGTTGCACCAGGGGAGGTTTGGATTGGATATTAGGAAAAAAATCTTCACCAAAAGGATTGTCAGGCACCGGAACAGGCTGCCCAGGGAAGTGTTAGAGCCACCATCCCTGGTGGTATTTAAAAGACATGTAGACATGGTGCTTAGGGACATGGTTTAGTGGCGGACTTGGCAGTGCTAGGTTAATGGTTGGACTTGACAATCTTAAGGGTCTTTTCCAACCTAAATGATTCTATGATTCCATGATTACATATGTACAAGTATACACATGCCAACATAATGCACATATTTGCTTTTCAGTAACAAATTAGTTACAGAGATAATTGTGAGGAATTTGTGATTCACTAAAAGCCCATTAGCTGTGCCCAAACAGGTACCAAAAGTTGCAGTTACTTTCTTACGCACCCTTCCTCTAACCCCTCAAATTATTATATAATTAAATCTCTCCAAATGTAACAACAAGTTGAAAAGGCTGGAAGGGTATATTTCAGCAGACAAAATGAAAATGGGTAGGGTTCCTAGTTATTAATATGACTAGGCTTTAGTGTCAATGCATTTGGACATCAGTAAATTGAAGCATACAGTATGGAACTTGATAACACAAATTACGTATCAACACTTTCACTATAAATCCATTCAGTCTTGTTTCCTTGTTCAGAAGTTACTTTTAATTTACTTAAAATCTGCAAGAGAACATAGCCTTCTAGGTCACTACTTCCTTGCTAATAATTAAAATAAATTACTCAAAATCCCTGGTATTTGTGGCATGATTGTTCTTGTCTTTACAAAGATGAATCACTAATTCATAGACTGCAAAGCTTATATTAAAAGATCTGCTTGAAAGACACAATCAGCAATTTTAAGAGCTATTGCACAAAGTATGGTAATGATGGCTTGTAAATCTATTTTACCTTTAGTCATCTGGAAATTTGCATGCACAACGCACTCCATTTTAAAAAAGAACATTTAGAAAAAGTGTGAGGCATAGAAAGCACCTACTGTTTGCTGTGGTTTTTCTATCACGTACATCTGGAAGGCTTATTGTACCTTCCAATAGAATCACTACATTTAACTGAAGTTCTGGTAAACAGCATAATTTCTTAATTGAAACTATTATCAAATAATACATTTAGAGCACTGCATTCATTTGCTCTACATGACTGATTATGGCACACCTGTTGTACTTAGAAAAATGCTTAATGTCTGCAGCCAAGCCACAGCTGATAATAGATGTGCAGTGGTTTTAATTTCACTTAGTGCAGCCTCTTATACATAGTGCTATCTTCTATGCCAGGAAAAGAGACATCTGTAATTTCACATCATTGATAGCTCTAAGCCTGCAGCTGTATTTCTCTTTTTGTCACTGAAAAAAAAAAAAAAATCATCCTAACCTTGTCAGCATGCAAGATGTATAGGGAGAAGAAATACTGTGAAGAAGAAGAAAAGAAGAAATAGGCCAGCTAACACAATTGGGGTGGAAAAACCCAACAAAACAGGTCGGTCTGCAGTCATTCATCTTCCACTCTGAATCTGAACCAGCATTTTCAAGCTACATGCAGATTAAGAACAATTGGTTTGCATTAACTTAATTAATGGACAGTTTGAGAGAATAGTTGGGTTTTTTTTTTTCTGTAAAGAAAGTACAGAAGAGAAGGTTAAGAAAGAATATGGTGATAAGGTCATTGGGTGCTACAGGACAGATAACTATTCAGTAACACAGAGCATCTTAAAGCTATGTTAGACTGAACTTAATTTCAAAAATAACCAAGTAAAGCCTTTGTTCTGGTGAAGAGTCCCCTCCAATTGTAAAGGTTAAATTTTATCTTCAAACTATCTTGTTATTTAATCTTATAAATGTAAGAAATTAAAAGCAAAATTAATAATTTAAAGATAAACAGCAATTCTGGTTTAACTTAATCTGATTAAAAGTGAGAATAATTGCTATTATGATGTATGGATGATAACAAAATACCTTAAAGTGGATTTGGTTTTTCCTATATTTTAGTTATTGGCAAGAGATATGTTTAGTCAGTATAAGATCTGATTTTTACTTTTAACATATGTATATTTAGAAATCTAAAGTCTCCTGTGATTTCTCTGATGGATCGATTTGAACTGCTTGAATAATGCTCCTGATGTGACAGATATTATGCCCTGGCCAGGACAGCCTCAAATTTGGATGGTATCAGACATAAGGGTCAAAGAGACATTATTCATCCCATACCTTGACAGAAATGTCAGCCAATGTTAGCCATTTGAGAGAAAATGGACTATCTTGCATCACACCTTCAATGGAATGAGTTTATTGTCCTTTACAGAATGACAGGGCAGGGGGTGGTGAGGACTACAGCTAGAGACAAATCCCGGACAAAGCAGAAGAGAGCAGAGAGAACCATAGACTGATGCATGGCAGATTACAGCTCACACCCAGAAAATGATTCTCAAGCTCACACCGCTTTTGAATTGTTGGAGGGGGAAAAAATGTTCCTGAAAAAATTCACAGAATTTTTGCCACTTAAAATTTTCTTTGTGTGCTCACTTGCTTGGGTTTTTTTGTTGTTGATGTTTTGTTTAGTATTTGTTTTCTTTTCTGTATTTTTAATTTGAAGCTTGAAAAAACAGATATCCACATTAGAAATCATGCCAATTATTTGTCAATAATTCACATCAAATGTTACTTACAACAGTCAGCTTCACATCAGGCAATTCATCTCACACTTTCGATGCTTGGACTTTCTAGTCTAACTTTTGTTCAGATTGGACCTGCTATGAACCTGAGACTTTATAGAATGAAAAATAAAAATAAAAAATTGTACACACTACTAACAAAATGAGAAGGTCAGCCTTAACTTTTGACTGCTACAGGAGATTTTAGTAGTATAAAGAAGGTCACCTAAGGTATTTTGGTAAGCATTTCAGATACAATGGGAGAGAACTGCCTATAATCAATCTTTCTGTTGCTTTTCCTCTCTTGCTCTCCCTCTAACCCCTTCATAGACATAAGCAAGAAGGGGTTTACATTCAGCCTGACTGCCTTCATTTTTTAATGCATCTCAGTGCCTATCCAAGGTGGCTGTAAGCCCGCAGCATCACTGAACGTGGTAACAGTGCTGGATGCAATATTCCAAGTCCTAAATGACAACATGGAACAAATAAAGAAGGTTGTACATAGGAATCTGCACATAGTCACAACAGCAAGCAAATAGAGCTAGGGTTAACTGACTTACCTGGCGACACCACAGCTTTCGAAATATTTGCAAATAGGCCAACACCATAAGACACAGTGGTGCCATGTATGTCACCAGAAAAAAGCATGTGTGATACATTTTGGGGTAAACCTCAGCTGGAAAGAGAATTCAAATAGGAAAAGTGCATTGAAATACACATACTTCAGTTTAAGACAAATTATTCATATAGATACGCATATGTTTTTCCAACATGATAGGTTATAATGGAAGATGTATCCAATAATATTATGGTCAGGATTGATTTGTTAATCACTTCTATATACATTCTGTTTCTATTATAAACATGCTTTTATCTCAAGCATATCTCATATCACATTATTGCTTTTGTATCACATTATTACTTTAGGTACAAAGTCTTAAGAAGTTTTTATTAAATCAGTGAAAATTTAATTAGCTAACTAATTATCCAAGCTACCTCATCTTTGACGTATTTAACAGGTTGTGTAACTGTCTTTAGTTTTAATTCTGCAAAGGCTACTATGTATCCCTGAGTAAACTGCACAATCTCTCACCTATAAACACAGAATGTAGACTACAGCACACAGGATGCTGATGGGAGAAGAGACAGACATTTCTTAAACCACTTTCTGGTGGCAGAATAAACGTGATTAAGACTCAGTGATTTATTATTATGATCGCATTTAAAAAATAGGATTAATTCAGTCAAGTTCTCTAAATAGGAAATTTCCAAGATCACTTTTGACTCAGCTTTAACAATGAGTTTGCTACCATTGTGTTCTAGTTCCCTGTGTATCTCTTCTCAAAAGACAACTTATGAATGTTATTTGCTTAGAGACAAACATCTTACAAGTGTTGTGAGTGTATTGTGTTTTAAGAATGTTGTATCATAAGCTTCATCATTAGATTATAGCAGAATGTGCAGTGGATGCCTGGAAAACTTGCTTTCAGTTTTGTAACATCAAAAGTAGTTTTGTATTACCAAATGTTGCTATTAATTACCACTTCGCATTTATGGATGGCCTCAGAAAAGGGATGAACATTATGGAAAGTGACAATATGTAGCAGAAGAGAAACTATGCACTCCACGAGTAGTTAGATTGCGCGGTAATCCTAAGCATTGCATTTTGGCTAGAGTAAAGAAGGAATGTTTATGTTAATTTGCAGAATTTCTGAATGTTTCAGGATGGTAAGATCTGCAACTGAAACTCTGTGCTGACTGCAGTTTTAATAAAAAATATTTTTTTTAAAAAAGTTGCATGAGATCAAAATGTTGGTGAGTCAAACTTATTTTCTGCTTCTTAAAGTAACTGAGATTGTGGACTCTATCAAACAAAAGGTCCCTTTGCATGCTAGGAGAATCCCTTTGATTAGACAAGAAGATACAAAGACTTGGCCCATAATTCTCACAGCAGGGAGTACACTATCATGTTATCTCCAGACTTCCCCTCAAACCCTGACTCCAGTACTATCACACTCAGCGTTGGCCCTGAAAGTGCCAGGTGATTCACCAGCCAGAAAAACTTCAGTATCAGGGAAACAGATACTCGCTATAGCAAACTCCATCCCATGTTCATCGCTAAGGTAATAGAGATGTTGCCATTGATATTTGACAGCTTTGATGGATCAGGGTTCAAAAAATTCAGATGAGCAGTATTTGGCCCCTTACTCTAAGATCCTGTAGCAAACCAGCTTACCAACTCTTAACTAACAGCTGCAGCCACTAGATCTTGTCAATGTCCCTGGGGGAGGCCGACCTTTTGGGGCAGGTTTTTTATAATTGGTGATAACCTGGGTTAGTATATTGACTGATGATCTCAAACTTGTTTTTGCATTCCAGAAAATGCAGCCTCAGATCAGTCCTGTCAGACAGGGAAATACTGGCATGCATGCTTTACAGGTGGAGAGATTAAGGAGAAAGTGGAGTAACGTGACTTACTGGGATCACAGGAGGTCAGAGCTGAAAGTACATTCTTTCTGCTCAGAAGGAGGTGCCACCTGCCTCATCAATGCTCTGCAGGCAGCCAGGACCCTTTCAGGTAGAAGGATGGTACATATTTAAAAGGCCATCTGGAGTTTATGGCTTCCAATTTAGCATTCCAAGTAAAGTGAAACATTAAATGAGCCTAGCTATCTACAAAGAACTGACGGACCAGGTTGGAGGACGATCCTAACACTTGCCTTTGAAGTTTAGCCACCTGGAAAGTGCCAGCTGCTAAACATCAAAGGAAACCTGTCCCTCCCCCACCCAGGGCAAAGCCCTTTGTAGAACTTTTCCCTAAGAAGCATGACTCTGTTTAGCTTCTCAAGCCAAAGAAAAGCTTTAAAGCTGTTCGACAATCACAGCAGCAAGAAGGAGGAAGGGCTGGTTTGGGATACTGTTCATTTATCAAGTGAGTGAGTTCCAGGCTCCTTGAATGAGAACATCAATCAGTCTATGG